AAACGTTGACTATTTATTGTTGTTGTTAATTAAATTATTAAATTATTTTATTTAATAATAATGTAAGGTAACGATTAAATTATAGTAATGAATTTTCGTATTTAAATTTTTAAGTTTAATGAAAAAAAAATTTAGATTCTACTATGACTTACGGGGTACTGTCCGTGCAACCTTAAGTATAAATAAGAATTTCTGGAAAAAAAATCTAATTTTTACAATTTCGGAGAAAAGTACTTTTCTATTATTCGGAAAAATTGAAATAAATACTCGCTATAAATTTACTTGTTTAACTATTCTTTTGTCAATGTTAATTAAAAGAAAATTTTTTTTTTTTTTTTTTCAATTGAGTCAGTATTTTCTCTCAGAATATAAAAGAAAAATAACAACCCTTTAAAAAAATTAAATGAATTGAAAATTAAACGTTTTTGGATTTTTTTTATTAAGAGAGGAATATTCTTGGATGTGTCATGTATGGTGAGTAGTTTTTAATACAACGTTGTTAGGATGTTGTATACTGGTGTTCTTGAACTATTGATGTTTATTTCTCGGAGGAGCGTTCGTAGAGAGGATCGATTGGGTTCAGCTGGCCAGCTCGATTCTCGAATGAATTATCGCTCATCGGCTGTATTGCCCTTTCATTTCCAGTTATACGCGGAGCAGTGAAGCACTCTCGTATGGCTCGTATCGTATAGTACTGCCATCACCGACGTTTTCTCATCCCCCACCTACATCCCTCTTCTCCGTTCACTGCCGCGTTTGAGCTCTCCACGCCCGAGGGACGATCAGACAGCAGCTGCATCACTCCCGCGGCGTTTGAACTAACTCTCACGTTTCTCCATCTCCGTTTCATGGACTACATCATATCCTGTGGAGAATTGAATCATTGGTAAACCAAAAGAGCAAACTTCGTAATTGTTTTGATTCATTATTTTTTTAAATAAAAAAACTACTTTCGTTGTTTCCTAAACTGAAAATGTTTTAATTTAAAATTATGTACTGTCAGTTTAATTTTTTTGTGAGGCTTGGTGTTGTATGAAAGCATCGTCCTTTGTAATTTATGAAAAAAAAATTATGAAATAATCGTAACATTATCAAGTTCATTAAATCATTAAAAATGACAGTTTATAACGTATCGATATAGAACGTTGTACGTAAAATTAAATGATCCGAACAATGTCAGTGTTTATTCCTATCATTATTGTCTTTCATATAAAACAACACTGATAAAAAATTTAACTTGATTCAAAAGAAAAAATCTTGAATCAAGAATACCATTTTGAAGAAAATAATTTTCTTGTGTCAAGAGGAAAAATTCTTGAATTGAGAATAATTTCTTCACGGTGAGAAATTTCTATTATTTTTTATGGTGCATATTACTAGTGAACCTTATTGACTCAGAATGAAATTTTACAATGGCCCATAGTAATTTCCGAAACAAATGAAATCAGACATAGCAAACGGTAGAAATTGAAATGTACCATAGTAAAATGAAATATGCAATAATTTAAATTTCCGAATAATTTAAATTTACTATAGCAAAAAAAATAAGAAAATGTTTGTAAAAAATAAAAAATTTTAATTAAAAAATATTTTTAGCAATCAAAAAAAATATCAAACCAAACAAGATTTTTTTTTTGTTTGTAATAATTTTTAAAAATATTTTTTTAAAATATAGTTTTTTTTTATTTTTTTTCTATTTTTTTTTTTATTTTTAACAATTAACGTAGGATTTATTTTGGCAGTTAATTTTATTATAATTAATTATAAACACAATATATAACTTTTAAATTATTTTTTATAATAATAATAATAATAATATATTATTAGAAAAGTGTTGGTTGCAGGTTAACCATCAAATGTTTGTTTTAATCTTAATTTTTCTCGGTAAATTATTAAATATTTTATTATTTAGGAATCTTATAAATTTTTATTAACTATTCATATGTTGATGGATTTATAGACTAATATTTATTTAAAACAATGTTTATTGCAATTAACATATGAATAGTTAATAAAAATTTGTAAGATTCCTAAATAATAAAATATTTAATAATTTACCGAGAAAAATTAAGATTAAAACAAACATTTGATGGTTAACCTGCAACCGACACTTTTCTAATAATATATTATTATTATAATGAAAAATAATTTAAAAGTTATATATTGTGTTTATAATTATTTATAATATAATTAACTGCCAAAATAAATCCTTCGTTCAAATTAAAAATAGAAAACAAATAAAAAAACTATATTTTAAAAAAATATTTTTAAAAATTATTACAAGCAAAAAAAATCTTGTTTGGTTTGATATTTTTTTTGATTGCTAAAAATATTTTTTACTCTAAAATTTTTTATTTTTTACAAACATTTTCTTATTTTTTTTGCTATAGTACATTCGGAAATTTAAATTATTGCATATTTCATTTTACTATGGTACATTTCAATTTCTACCGTTTGCTATGTCTGATTTCATTTGTTTCGGAAATTACTATGGGCCATTGTAAAATTTTATTCTGAGTCAATAAGGTTCACTAGTAATATGCACCATTGTAAAATTTAAAATCCATGCAGAATAAAAAATAATAGAAATTTCTCACCGTGTATATCAGTCAGTATAGAGTGAAAGTAGAATCCGTTAATTTGGAGACCGAGATGTTGTCGTACTTTGGGGCTGGTCCTACTATAGTCCAGTAAAAGTTTGTTAGTAGATATTCCGTCTACCGAGTAGCCTAATAGGGCGGAACTTTATAAGGCGTTCTAATGGCACCTCGTTCAGACTTACTGCCCTCGGTTTTCTAATAACGTCTCAGATATATTAATATTTCTCCATTTTATTTTACACATATATTTACACTGAATTAGGATTTTATATCGGGGCTGTTATTTCTACGAATGTAAAAAAAGTTTCGACTTATGATTATTATATTATCTTCTTTTTTATTTCTCACTCGAATTTCGCGTCAATTAACCGATTACTTGTGACTAAAAAAGATTTATTTAATTCTAAGACTCAAATTTTTAGTAATCGATCAGATAATACGACAAACATTGTATAACAGATATTACGTAAAATAACATTTATAGAATTTTTGATTATTATATGATTAGACAACGATAATAAAGAAGAGTTGAGCAGGTAACATAAATGAAAACTATAAAATAAATACGATAACACAAAGAGGAAATATACCAAAAAAAGAAAACGTTAGTCAGAAAAGATGTGAAGATAACGGAAAAAAAAAAACAATAAAATAGCGAGAATAAAAATTTATTGGTTCTGGATGGTAATTACTCACAAAGCTGATGATACGAAGTGTCAATTAAAAAATATAAAGAAGAAAAGGATTAACACACAGTTTAATGAGATTCATAACATCAGAAAAAATTGAAAATAATATATCCGGGCTGAATGCCACAATAAAAGATTTAATGAAGAACCAAATATACAATACAATAAAATCATCAATGAGAGAGCTTTCTTTTAATTGTAAGTAAAAATTCATGAAAGAAAATTTAAATGCAAGTGTAAAAAGTGGATTAATTTTGAAGATAGCATTTTTGCTGAAAAATCTAAAAATTTTCTGAAGCAACAAAATTTATTTGTAGTTTCCCTGTTTGAACAAAATGATCTGATATGATTAAGAAAGATTAATTATTTGATCATTTCTAGTCCTGTCAAATTAGACTTAACATGTAAAATCAAATTAAATCAAAATTTCTTTAATGTGGACGGTAGTTATTTTAATATATAGTAGATATCCAAACCGTAATAGAAAAATACCAAAGAAAAATATGAAACACAAAGGCATAGCAAAAAATACATCAGACAAAAAGTATTTATTGTTGTTACTCTCACCATAACTATACTGCTTGGTTCAGAATTATAAAAAACTCCGGCGACATTGTTTGCCAGGTGCAATTAATCACAAGATCCCACGATGTGAAAAGTAAGACTGTAATTTTCACCTCACTTTATGAAAATTTTCCAATGAATAATATCTTAACATATCGTATACTAGTGATATGTGCAAATGTGGTTAATAATTAATAATTTATAATATCAAATTATTCCCGGAACCTTACCTTAGTCGAATGGTACGAAGCATTGTCCATAACAATCATCGATGGCTTAGTCAGGTTGGGCAGAAGATCTTTCTCCATCCACTTCTCAAAGGTAGCGCTATTCATTTCCCCATGATAGTCTTCATGACTCTTGGGGTTACTCTTCGACTTGATGCACATAGAAGCTCCCTCAACCCAACCATCCCGACCTCCAGCGTGGCATATAATGTACCGTGCTCCGGTAGACGCTTTTTTAACAGAAACACTTCTGGTACTGGAGTCTTGCCACTCTCGGGTTTTGCCGGTACCATTTGCATACAGCCACGTTTCGTCTTGGAAAATGAAGTTTTTAGCTTCATTTTCTATATCATTGCCGTTTCTTGCAGCCTCAGGGGCATCCAAGTTTCTTGCAGCCTCAGAAGCATCCAAGTTTCTTGCAGCCTCAGAAGCATCCAAGTTTCTTGCAGCCTCAGGGGCGTCCAAGTTTCTTGCAGCCTCAGAAGCATCCAAGTTTCTTGCAGCCTCAGAAGCATCCAAGTTTCTTGCAGCCTCAGGGGCGTCCAAGTTTCTTGCTGCCTCAGAAGCATCCAAGTTTCTTGCAGCCTCAAGAGCGTCCAAGTTTCTTTTGTACTTCGCTAGAAACTCAATGCGAGCGGCAATGATGTAGGGCTGTTCTACAAGCCACCGATTACTGTTGCGCTTCGTATATGTAAAGCCTATATCATGTAAAACCTTCCTGAGTATCTCGGGTGAACCGTAAAAAGCGATACCGTGACTTCTGTAAAGAGATAAATAACATTAAAAAGTTCCGTAACACAAAAATATAATCCAAGGCGACAATTTGAATTCAAATTAAAAATATTCAAACTGATTTCATACTTAGATGATATTTTGAAAACTAAATCAATATATTTGTTTATGTGACAAGCTTTATCTTCAGCAATATAAATTGAGTCTGAAGATATTAAAAATTTTAAACTGCTATACTGATAAAAAAATGAACTTGACTCAAGAACTAAACTCTTGAATCTAGAATACCATTTTGAAGAAAATGATTTTATTGAGTCAAGAGAATATATTCTTGACGTAACAAAATTTTCTTAGACCAAGAATAATTTCTTAGCTCAAGAATTTATTCTCTTGACTCAAGAAAATCACTTTCTTCAAAATGGAATTCTTGGTTCAAGAGTTTGGCTCTTGAGACAAGTCAATTTTTTTATCAGTGTACATTCGACTCTGTTTTAATCTTAAATACATTTTTTTATGGTACTTGAAAATTTTCAAAAGTAGTATTAAGCAGCTATTTCCAGTTTCATTCCAATTTTCAAATTTTTGCCTCCGGTAAATTTTAGTACCTTAACACTTTCCGCACTATCTTCTGAAGTTCGAAAAGTGTGATGTAAATATGCATACAACAATAACATTACCTGATTTGTTGGTGTAATTGAGAGATTGTAATGGTTCGTCCTGAAAAGAAAAAGAAGAAAAAAAATTAAAGTTGCTCATATTTTCACTACAGATGTAAATGAAGATAATTGGACAAATAGCAATGAATGTATTGTTGAGTATAATACATTACCCTCTTATATACTCAGAAACATCGAGACTTTTATGCTCCGCCCAGATGCGCAGAACGAATAGCATAATGTCTAAACTCCAAAAATTGTAAAGCTTCACTTTATTTCCCCCCACCCCTGTCCCTGAGCAAACTTATAATAATTTTCGATAGTTCGTTTAACTACAGATTATTGTGGCACATTGTAATTGCAAGTTATATGGAAGCTGTACATACGAATTAGAATTTCTTTGTAACGTGAAACCTTTTTTGGCCATGCTGAAACACTTCCAACAATCTTTTTCGGCAAAAAGCGTAAGAAAGTTACGAAGTAATGTGTTAAAGATATATCTAAAATTTTCGCGTTCAATAACAAGCCACATACTCTTCTTTAGTCGATCCTTGACTATGCGGGATTGTGCATATGGGTGATTCTCTGCAAGGATGTTTTTTGCTGTCCCAGGCATTTTTTTATTAGAAAAATAGTTATTTTGTAACTAAAAAAAATTTATTACGATAGTAAAAAAACATTTGAATTTGGAGCATTGAAAACTAAAATGAAATAAATCTTGGTTTTTTTGCTGTACATTCGTAAACTACCGAAATAACAGTCCCCTGGGCTATCCCATTCCCAAAATTGAAACTTTAAGATTAAATTTTAAGTTGTTCGTCCATAATATATCGCGTAACAGATGCCATAAGGGCGTATAATTTTTATACGCAATTTTTATTTATAATTTATTTATAAAATTGGATCCAAAAGTCTTAATATTATTGTAATTAATGTAAACATTCATTGAGAACTTGAAAAGTTCAATGCATTGAAATAGTTTGCTTGATTTTTCACAATTTGATAAAAAAAAAAAAACAGTCCCCTGGCAAACAGTCCCCTGTCATGTTATATGGCAAAAGATACACAAATATCGAAAAAGCAAAAATTAAATCGGCTGTTTATTTATTATGATTAAACATAAAATATTAGAAACGTATGTAAATATTTGTTCAGATTTACTCACTTTCGTCACAGGCTGTATAAATCAAATGCCTGATTTGTTCCTTGACTTCAATGGACACGTTGCGAAGTTTGGAATCTCTTGGTCGCTCTTTTCCCGGTGTACAATATGGTACACCACTGTAACCAATAGCCACGTACTTACTTACGGTAGTATGGGATATTTGTAAAGCCGCTGCTGTTCTCTCTCTGTAATAGTATGCGATTGGGAAAAATGAAACATAGTAGAAAGTGAAGAATAGTAAAGGAAATAATGAAACACTTTTTTAGCACTGATTAAAACTAGTATACAACCCTTAAGAAGTAAAGAAGAAAAGCCTCAGATCATATGTTTGTTGATCTCGACTTCGCCTCGACTAACAGTGACATGTGATCTGAGGCTTCTCTTATTTTCCTTCCCAAGGGGTGTAATATATTAATGCGACACACTACTCGCATTTAAGTGATTACTGAAGGCCAATGGCTAAGCAATAAAAGGTAACAGATGTAATTTATATAACATTTTGTAAAAAATTACCTCACTTTCGAGAACGGAATTAAAGGCACTTGGAACTTTTTGATATTCTCCGATTCTTTTAAAAGAAATTTATATGCAGAAAATATCGCAGCTTGGTGTTGACTGGAGAATGATCGACCTCGCTTATTGCGAGTGTTGCCATCCCAAAGCTTCCGGTCAGAATCCTTTTTTGGGGATTTGTCGTTGAGGACTCTCCTCATACGGGTCATGTTGACTAACAAAAAGCTCTATATCTTTTAAGCTCCGTAGTTTTTCTATTGATAATTCAATTTAGTATAGAATTATCAGTGTGAAAATCAAAGTAATGAGCTGACTATTTATTGGCAGATGTAAACAAATATTTTTTAAATTTGAAGACTTATTATTAATTAATACTTACAACTTTTATAAAAAAATGTAGGAAAAGTGAAGTTGTAACAATTGATGTGAGATATATGTCAGAAAAAAGTAGTATAAAAAAATGAAGGTTATTAGCATACGCGTATACAAAAGAAAATGTGTGTCTTCAACTTGGGGCCCCCTGCTGACAGTCGCGAAAGGGTGAAATTTTTTGGTACCAGTTAATCTATGTAGTTTGGTGTTCATCCACTAGCACTGCATAGCTGGCGCTACTATAAATTGTTTCGTTATCAAAATATGAAAATTGCGCAAAGAATTATGTAACTATAAAATTTAAAAAAAAATAAAAGAAACAATCATAATTTACATGCAATTTTAATTTAAGAATATATGTAATTATACAAAATTTTACTTACGAAATTTCATAAAAATTAATAAAATTAGAAGAAAAACTCGAAGAAATAATTAATATACAGAAGTAGATTTATTGTTTGAATGAGTTATTAATAACTCCAATTAATAATACCAATTGGTATGAAATTTTATATACTCTCTAAAAAATTCGTTGAAGTTTGTTACAATTCATAGAATTTCATAGTAATGGTTTAAATTTTAAAAAATTTCTTAAAAATCAGTAAAGTATAATGCAGAGAAAACTATAATGCGCATGAACTTACAGATAATTTTTGAAATATCAGGATTTATTTTAATATATATTACATATGTAATGCACTTTTTAAGAAATTAAGGTTGGACCAAAATATTTACAAAGAAAAATTCTCACATAGTTTGATTGTACCGTTACATTTTATGCAATTTTATAAAATTCAAGTCTTGATATAATAAATATTATAAGATATCATACAATAATGTGATAATTTTTTCACAAATCATCACGTGGTCTTCAACAACATTGGAGAAAATTATAATAAATTGTTGGCAATTTTCAATTGTGAAACTCTATAAAATCAAATGACCATTGTATAACATTTCATAAAATTACGCTTAGTTTAGCTAAAAAAATATACCTGATATTTTACACATCTAACTTACAACATAGGCCAATTACTGTCAACAGATATTAATTATTAGCATTTGCAATAAAGTTTGCAGTATTCAAATAAAAAGGAAACAAATCAGAGCTGATTCATTATTGTAAAAAATTATCATAATATCTCTATTATGAGTGATAATGAAAATAACTCATATCATATTAAATTCTGCATAGAAAATAAAAATTTTCAACTCAAGAGAATATTTTGAAATACTTAAAGTTTCTTGCTTTGAACAAAGTAAAATTTTTCTTGACATAATAAAATAGTATCTCGCTCCAAAAGAACTTCGCTCTCACAAAAATTTTTTATTAGCTCGAGTAACAATCAATCTGGTTGTGGAGTTACTCATTAAAATATATTAATGAGAATGACTTATTTTTTATAATATAATGTCATACCAAAAGTATTACAACAATATTGTAGTACAATTTTTATTTGTTATTTAATGCAGGAAAAACAAATACTTATTATACTAATTAAAATATCAACTGGAATAAAACTGTAATAACTGAGGCTTATGAAAAATAAAAAATGATATTTATGAGAATAAGAATTAAAGTTTAAGTCAAGATATATTTTCGTTTACTGCTTACAAAATGTTGGATACATTTATATTATATTATCTTACAATATTGTTAAATTTTAAAAATGAAAGACATGGCAAATGTTAATACATATTATAATTTCGTTTGAATAACAATTTTTGAAAATTAGTAGGCAATATTATCACAACATTTTTTCCATCAGAGTTCTTGCTTTCAATATCCTTGATTTGAAATGTTACAATCGTTTTTTGAACGAATTTGACCACTTGTCTTCTCCCTCTTTTAATTTGATGCTGGCTATCTAATACAAAAATTATGATTATTGACAATTTTACAATTAAAATCTAACAAAGATCAACGAAGTCAATGCAATATTTTAGCAATGTATTAATAATAGTTAAAAAATACATAAAAACGCAATTAATAATATTACATTTGTTTTAATTATTACTTTATGTTTGTTAAATACCACGAAAAATAGGAGTAGCTACGATTCATTTTTTGCTTTAAATCTACGAAAAAAATTAAATATAAATACTTATTATTTTTTAATATATATTAATATTTTATATAAAATTGAAATATTTTTTAACAATTTTTTATTCATTTATCTATTATTTGTTATTGAATCATAGTTTAATTGTTAATTTACGAAACACTATATAGTCGTCAGCTGTAACCTACCTTACCTTCGCAGCTGCCATAACCACTGTCGCCACCTGCAGGTTACAAAAAATGACATGTTTGTTAGGCTCTCTACATGAGGACTATTTCATTCAGGCGGAGTAACCATTTTTTAGAGCGTTCATGAATATTGCGCTATAGTGGGGGTAAAAATCCGAAAAAACCCGAGGTCCAAACTCTCACTGGGACGACTTTAA